TTAGGGGAGCTAGGATTCAGGGGAGCTAGGATTTAGGGGAGCTAGGATTTAGAGGAGCTAGGATTTAGAGGAGCTAGGATTTAGAAGAATTAGGATTTAGAGGAGTTAGGATTTAGAAGAATTAGGATTTAGAGGAATTAGGATTTAGGGGAGCTAGGATTTAGGGGAGCTAGGATTTAGGGGAGCTAGGATTTAGAGGAGTTAGGATTTAGGGGAGCTAGGATTTAGAGGAGTTAAGATTTAGGGGAGCTAGGATTTAGAAGAATTAGGATTTAGAGGAGTTAGGATTTAGGGGAGCTAGGATTTAGAGGAGCTAGGATTCAGAGGAGCTGCGATTTAGAGGAGCTGGGATTTAGGGGAGCTAGGATTTAGGGGAGCTAGGATTTAGAGGAGCTAGGATTTAAGGGAGCTAGGGTATTGGGAAGCTCACCAGGCCAGGAATGAGGTCCAGATGAACATGGCAGAGACCCAGCCCCAATAGCTGGGCTGTGCCCTCCTCTGGGCTCCCTCAGTTCCCTGGGCCTACCACAAGCATCACACCATCTTGTGCTAAAATGGTCCAATGATGCCTCTGTGAGCCTCATGGATGGTGAGTTCCCAGAAGCCAGCACCGTGTCTTAATTACCCATGTGCCTCTGGTGCCTTGCAGAGTGCTCGGTGCAAGGTAAATGCTCAGGAAGCCTGTGCTGAATGAACAGGGGAATGGGTGTGGCGTCACCTGCATGTTGAACTAGAGCTGCTTGCTGAGACCAGCCTGGCCCGGAGCCTGGGCCTGCCGGCGAGCTGTGGGGCTGAGAGCCAGGCAGGCGCCAGGATCCGTGTTTCTCTGGCTGGGTTTCTCTGGATGATCATCATGGTCTTTCGAGGGATGGGGGATCCCTCGAAGAAGGAGATCAAGAAGGGGATCAATGGGGTTTAATCAATAATTAGATAAAAATAAATTCACATGTGTGTTTAGGGGATTTGGCAAATGAGTGCAGCTTACTCTAGTGTTCGATTCAATTCAAGTTGTCTTTCCCTAGAGGGCAATTTTCATACATGCTGCCACCCAGAAGAGTAATGTCACTTACGCCTCTTCCACAGCCCTACACGGGGCTCAGTGATGCAACAAGAAGAAAGGATCAAACCCCCTCGGAAGCTGCTTAATTCTTCGTCTTTAAATGTACCTGGATTCTCCCTACTCACCCCTCAGTCACCGACGAGAACCTCCCAGGCTGGCCATGTCTATGCCAGCATCAGTTCCCTCACTTCTCTCGTCTCCCCTGAGTCTCTTCACCAGCGCTCTCAGGGTCTGCCTTTGGCCCCTCTGGAGACACATTTAACCAGTTTTCTTTAGTACATTGACCTCAGCTCTCTACGTGACTCTTGGCTTTACAAGTTTCCTCACTTTTACCACCCCACAGCCCCAGGTAAGAGATGCTCTAGGCCAGGTGCGGTGGCTCATGCTTATAATCTCAGTACTTTGGGAGGCCAATGTGGGCGAATCACCTGAGGTCAGGAGTTTGTGACCAGTTTGGCCAACATGGTAAAACTCTGTCTGTACTAAAAATACAAAAAAATTAGCCAGGCGTAGTGGTGGGCTCCTGTAATCCTAGCTACTTGGGAGGCTGAAGCAGGAGAATAGCTTGAACCTGGCAGGTGGAAGTTGCAGTGAGTTGAGATCACGCCACTGCACTCCAGCCTGGGTAAAAAGAGTGAAACTCTGTCTCAAATAAAAAAAAAAAAAAGATGCTCTGTCTCCAGCCCAGGCCCAAACCCCTACCAAGAGAAGAAGATTCAAACTTCTTGGGCCAATCTTCACATAGGCTCAGCTCTGAGGTCCTAATGACCTCTGGGGCAGAACGTTCAAGGGAAGGAGGGAAACCAGATGTAAACCAGATGTAAAAGAGTCAATGGCCAGGCTGACCCCACCGGATGCCAATCAGCAGTCAGTATCTCCAGGTTCTGAAAGACTTGGCTCAATCTGAGTCATTGCCATGTTTGGTGGGTGGGGCCCAGCATTTGGCATCTCCGGGCAGGAATCAAGTTCAGATGACTTCACGGGGCTGGACACAAAGGTTCAGCTGAAGCAGATTATGGATTCTCAGCCAAGAGGACAGCAGCAGGGCACAACCCCCAGGAAGGGGCCGGCAAAGCTGAGGCAACTTGGTTGGGCCTCAGTGCTACTCAGATGGCTTAGAACAGCAAGGGAAGTGTAGACCAGACCCACATTCCATGCCGCAGGAGGGGAGAAGCCTGTGGTGGGGAGGGAGGTTTGCAGGGCCTTCCACAAAATGAGACTGGCTTAGACTGAGACTGAGATATACTGGAACTATTGCACGGGAAAGCCCTGGACAAACAGGATCATTATTCCAGTCTCTGTCTCAATGCTCCAGCCCACTGGTCATTCGGGTGACACAGAAGCAAGTCCCTAACCCTAATCCTAACTCTTCCAGTTCACATTTGCTGGGAGATTTCATTCTGTTTGAGTGTCCAATGTAAGTTTCCTGTTTTTTTTTTTTTTAGTTAGACAGGGTCTCATTCTGTTGCCCAGGCTGGAGTGCAGTGGTGTGATCCTAGCTCACTGCAGCCTTGACCTCCTGGGCTCAAGTGATCCTTCCACCTAAGCCTCTGAAGTAGCTGGGACCACAGGCATGCACCACCACATGCAGCTACTGGCTTCCCTTTTGGACCTTGTAAGCTACCTCCCTTTTACCCTAAGAGCGGAAGAACTCTAAATCAAGTTGTTTTATGAGGAGACATGTTAGAGTAGAATAAGGAAGACGCAATGTGTCAGGAAAGCATGGCCGAGATTAGCTACCTGCCCCATCAGCCTGTCTCCTCTTATTCTTGGGAGAAACTGGCCATATTTCCCAGCCTTTTTGCAGTGAGATACGGCCTTGCGATTATGTTCCAGCCAAAGGAATGTGAGTGGGAGAGATGAGGGCTATTCCCAGGACTAACCCAAGGAGCCCTCCCATCTGAGACGTTCCACTCTCCATGGACCCCGTGTGAAGTACAGTCCCCCAACAAGGCAAGTCCCAAGAGGCTACTGTGCCACTCAGTTTGATTGTTTCGGTGATGGATGGGAATTTGAAGCTGTCAGAGATGGAGAGGAGGCTATTAGGGGAGGGAATTGCAACTGCAGAGCACCTTCCAGCAGGGAAGCTGAGAGAGACAGGCGTGAAATCATCGCCATACTCTCTTTGGGTTCCATCCAAAGAGGGTAAAGGGAACCGGCTAAGTAAGGAGGCCTCAGGAGCCCTGTTTGGCAGGAGCAGGGAGAGCCTCTGCTGGCTGGCGGTGTTGGCTTTATCTCACACGGCAGGTGCCCTGTGATGGTTGGTTGTGGGAAGAGCAACAGGTTCCCCTGGGTCTTGGGAGGCCCTGGCAAGCATGTGCCATGCTTATCTTCTGTAAGTTCATGGTGAACTTACAGAAGGTAAGATCCTTCCACAATACATTTGCTCAGAATTTTCACTTGTCATTGGCTGTATTGAAATAGCCGGAGATTTACAATGATCTGTTCAGACTGTTATGTTGTTTTGTTCCTGAAATGGAGGTACCGGGAAGTTCATATGATAAAAACTGGATATAAGTTTTCCAAAGAAACAACATAATAGGATTATGATTCTAGCCAAGGTCTGATACACTATGATAAAAATGATCAGAAATTGCGTAGTAATCAGTGTGCCAATGATAAAAGTTATCTCTATCCTGCACAGAGTAAAGCTTTCCAAGGTGTCTACAAATCAGTCAAGTAGGACAACACAGGAATCAATCATGTGAGATCTCTAAAAATGGTATGTAAGAGGTTCTCTCGGGGCTGCGAGCCAGAGATCCTCTCTGGCTGAGGGCAGCCACCCAGATACTGCAGTCCGTTGGGATGTAAAGAGCCAGGGCATTCTAAGTGTGAGTCGTCTAGGTCACATGTATTGAGCCGTGTCTGTTTGAGTTTGGCTGGACAGCAAAGCCTGTGGGATTCTGGGTCTTTATGAAATGTTCCACCCTAATCAAAGGGCTTTAGAACATTGGTCCCCCAGTGGTCAAATAGGCCCTTCGGCACACGTGACGTTCTCTTCATGTTCTCTGGGCCTTGACGTGGGGAGTGGCTGAGCCAGGACCTCATCATGGGCCAGACCCAGAATCACAGGAGGCCAAACTCAGAGGCCTAAGACCATTTTAAAATTCCCCCCGACCACACCCTCCCCACACAACACTGTATCCATAAAACTGAAAACAAAGCAGGACCCTGGTAAAGAAAATGAAACCCAAATGATATCAACTTGGAGAACAGAGACAGGTGGCCTCTTCTTTCTGTCTGTTGTGAATATTCCTTTTCCCCCAAACTCTGATGGAACAGCAGTGGGCTCTACGCTGCTTGCCCTGGTACAGATGGGTTTTGCTCTGAAGGGAGATTAGGAAAAGCGTGTCTGGCATTCTTCAAGTAAGAACGTCCTATGGCTTACCTAGAACAAAGTTACACCACAGCAATACCAACACTGCAACACTGCTTCAACCTAGTTTCTCTTGCAGGTGCAAAAGCTTCTTGCAAGAATATGAGAATCATTATTCAGACTGGGCATGGTGGCTCTGGGAGGCCGAAGTGGGAAGATCCCTTGAGCTCAGGAGTTCGAGACCAGCCTGGGCAACATAGTGAGACCTTGTATCCCCCAAAATTTTTAAAAATTAGCTGGGAGTGGGGTGATGCATGCCTGTGGTCCCAGCTACACAGGATGCTGAGGCAGGAGAATTTCTTGAGCCCAGGAGTTCAAGACGGCAATAAGCCATGATCATACCACTGCATTCCAGGCTGGGAGGAAGAGCAAGATCCTGTCTCTTCATAAGTAAATAATCATTATTCAGGATCGCCGCATGGATTTCCCCAGTCCCTCCAGAACATATTGATAAAACAATGGTGTACAATGTTTGAAAACATAAATAGTAAACGCTGTGAGAAGGCACAAGCCCAGAGCTGTGGGTCTGTAGTTAAAATTCTGCCCAAGTGATAATACCGTGTGTACATACATAGATAATTTTTTGCTTTATAAAGTGGTTTTGCATTGAGACACTGATTTCTCTTAGACCTTCTTTCCTAATAGATAGGCCAGTGGGCTCATGTCCTATGCTTGGCTAGAAGGCAGCTCATTTAACAACTGCTCAGCCAAGCAAGGGAAGCTCTGCTGCAGGTCCAGGAGGCCCCCAAGCCAAAACTAGCAGAAGGAGGTGGTGCCCATTTTCATGGGGCTGGTGGATGTTGAGGTGGAGTCAGTTGTTTTCGCTGTAATTCCCTTGGAGAAAGGGCATTCCTACCACGAAGCCATCAGATCTGGGAGGGCTGAATTAAACGGTCCAAGGAAACTGAAAAGTTCCAGCCCCTCATTTATAAGTGGGGAAAGTGAGGCCTGGGAAGCTGGTGACCACCCCCAACTCCCTCTCCTTCCCCTGATGCAGTGGCAGACACATTCTCCTCTGGCTGCGGTGGAGTAAGACCCACAGCTGTCACCAGTGTCGGGGCTGGGAAATCACCACCGAGGAAATGCATCAGAAGCGCTGCAGTGGCTCCAGAGGTGCCAGCAGCCTCCAGGAAGGATAGGCCCAAGCAGGCACGTGAAACGGGAGGGTGAGTGTGATCAGTAGCGGCCTGTGTGGAGATGTCATTCACATGCAATTTGCATTAGTTCCTGTACTCCTGTGCTGTCTGTCCTCAGATGTCCATGCTGGCCTTTTCTGTGCAACTAGCAGCTGAAAGGAGAGGGAAGAAGGAAGTGAATGCCCAGTGATAAGAGGAAAGAGAAATCAATTTCACCAATCCAGATCCCCAGTGATTTTTTATCCCATGGGGTGACATGTTCCCCTGACTGTCTACTTTAGCACAAACTATGGCTACCCTCAGAATGGCCTTTTCTTTAGTATTCTTCTTTATTTGCCCCAAAAGCTTCTTATCTTTAGCTTCTGTCCCAGCTCTCTTCCAGGATGATAGAAGAACAAGGAAAATAGACTTTTTAGGTGGGCAGGGCTCGGGGGGTGGTTGTGGGACAGGGGCAGTGTGAGGTCAGAGGCATCAGAAACCGTCCTGCTGAGATTGGCTACCCCACCTCATACAGAGTATCCCAGGTTAAGTCAAACAGTGCATGCACGTTGAACCAGAGCGACTTCAGGGCATCCGCCAACCCAAGGTGGCTTCCAGTCCGAGGTGGGGTCCATTCGCATGAGGAGTGCACAGCAGAGGACATGGCTGTGCGCTCAGAGGAGGAGGTGGCTGTCCCTGGAGGATGTCCCTCTGAGTAAGTAGGTGAGTCCTGCTGCAGAAGGAGCCTCTGCTTCTGACATGTGCCTTGCACTTCAGCCGTAGCAGGCTATGGTCCCCCTCAGTGTGGACTTTCTTCCTGTTGCAAGAGGGAGGCCTGGTGGGACTCTGAAACCTGGCCTGAGCCCCTCATCTCAGTGGCCAAAACCCCCCAGGCCTGAAGCTGTGGTGACACTCTGGACCACCATGTGGGTCCTGGGCATTGTGACCTCAGCTGTTCCGTACACAAAGGGGTGGTCACCCTGCCCTCACCTTGACCTGTATGTTGCCTAGGACAGTGGCCTGGTCCCGGGGGCTATTGTGGGGAGTTGAAGAACACCCTGGCCTCCTCCATCATGTCGGCCAAGAGGGCAGAACTGAAGAAAACACATCTGGTAAAAGAGACATGGCTGGACAGTGTGGGTCCTCTCTGAGCTCCTACTGAATGGAGATGATGGCAGGGCAGGGGATACAGAGAACACTCCCATGAATCTCTGGTTTTTGTTTTTTTTGTTTTTTTTCTCTGTTCTGAGCATAAAGCAGCCTCTCTGTCTGGACAGGGTGTGAGATTAATCCCTGGCCCTGGGGTGGGAAGGACAGAGGCCTCTGCTGCCTCCCTCTGGGGACGAGGAGCACTGCCGAGGGAGCACTCATGGTACCACGGCCCAGGCCAGGCCTGCCAGGCCCGCATCTAACCAGCAAGGCTAAGGCTCACAATAACCTTATTAGATAAGTATGATCATCACCTCGATTTTATAGATGAGGAAATGGGGGCTCAGAGAGGCTAAGCAACTCACCCAAAATGACAGAGCTGGTAGAGAGGTCAGCTGAGATTAGAGCGCAAATCTGCCCGTGGCCGAAGCCCTTGCTCTGGAAACAACACTCTGGGGCTTGCTTCTAGTTGTCCTAAAGTGCTGTCTCCACGCTGGCCCCTCCAGCAGGGACAGGGCTGCCTGCGAAACAGGCAGACACACGCCCATAGGAAGAGGACAGCACCACAAGATGTGAGTTGTCAGGAATCGGATCCGGGTGCTGCGGGGTCTGTGAGCCTGAGCTCAAGCCAGTTGGGCAGGCAGGGTTGCATGGTGGGGTGGGGGTGCCGGGGAGGGGGGCGGGGCTGCAGGGTTCCCGTGCAAGGGCCAGATGTTCTCCTCCCCAGTCCTGATGCCTGCCAGGCTGAATCCCAGTCTCCTCTTTTGGCAGAGCAAGAACTACAAGGCAGTTTGCCTGGAATTGAAGCCAGAGCCGACCAAAGTAAGAAGCTCTTTTGAGGCCATGCCAGCAGCCAGGCCTGAGATCCATGGGGAAGTGACCTGGAGTCAGGGGTCATTTGCTGATCCTAGTGGCCAAGACCTGTGCCAGGTGCTGGGGGATGCACTGAGAGTTCTTGCTCTCATAGAACTTCACACTGTAACCAATCAGATGCATAAATGAACCAGGACTCATTCAGCAGTGTCACCTGCTCTTCTGGGAATTAAGACAGGAGGTGTGGCTAGTGGCTGCCGTAAAGTGGGTGGTAGGGAAAGGCCTTCCTTTGAGCTGAGAGCTGAAGGACAAGACGCTGGCCTTGCAAAGGCAGAGTAAGAGCCTTCTAGGCAGAGGAGGCAGCATGCACTGAGGCCCAAGGTAGGAATGAGCCTGGGACAAAAGGAGCCGAGGCCCTGTGGGCCAGCAGGGGAGTGGAACCAGATGAGCTGAAAGAGGGAGGAGGAGAGAGGAACCTTCTGCACAGGTGGGGCCCCCAGCTTTCCCCTTGCCCTAACCATAAGGGAGGAACAGAAACACGGGGGATCTCTTCTGCCTCTGCACTTCCACCCCCTCTGCAATTCCCAACAGTCTGTGTTCCTGTTTCAATCCGCAGACATTTGATTACAAAGCAGTCAAACAAGAAGGGCGGTTTACCAAAGCAGGAGTGACACAGGACCTAAAGGTGAGTGCGTGAACTCGGAGGCATGACTATACTCCGAACCACTTGAGAGTAAGTTTTCTCCAAGTCCTCAGTGCCTATTTCCTAAATACAAGAATATCCTCTTATGTAGGCACAGTGCAATTACCGAAATCTGGAAGTTAACTCAGAGACAAGACTCATCTATAGCCTTTGTTCTAATTTCACCAGTTGTCCCACACGTGTATTTCCTGACAACAGAAAGGAGACGTTTTCTGGTCCAGGGTCTGATCCAGGATCACACATTGCCTCTAATTACCAGGTGTCTTTTCGATAATCTGGAACAGAACAGTTCTTTGTCTTTGGGGACACTGACATTTATTTATTTTTATTTTATTTTTTGAGACAGGGTCTCCCTCTGTCACCCAGGCTGGAGTGCAGTGGTGCGATCTCGGCTCACTGCAGCCTCTGCCTCCCAGGTTCAAGCAGTTCTCCTGCCTCAGCCTCCCAACTTTCTGGGACTATAGGCACCTGCCCCCACGCCTGGCTGATTTTTGTATTTTTAGTAGACATGGGGTTTCACCATGTTGGTTTCGAACTCCTGACCTCAGCTGATCTGTCGGCCTTGGCCTCCTGAAGTGCTGGGATTACAGGTTTGAGCCACCACACCTGGTCTAGGGACATTGACATTTTTACAGATTACAGATCACTTACATTGTGGGATAACACTCAATTTGGCTTTGTCTGTTGGATTCCTCATGATGAGATTCAGGCTGTGCATTTTTTGGCAGAGACATGATGCCTGTAGGTCCCACTTATAGTCTTTTTAAAACATTAATTAATTAATTAATTTTGAGATGGGGGGGGTCTCGCAATGTTGCCCAGGCTGGTCTCAAACTCCTTGTTTTGAGGGATCCCCCAGCCTTGGCCTCCCAAAGTGGTGGGATTACAGGTGTGAGCCAGTGCACCTGGTCTATCCTATTGTCTCAACAACATCCTTTGTTTCCTCCCTGTTGGAAGCTTTTCTCTGACAATGCCCCGGGATCTTTTCTTTCCTCCTGTTGACAGTTTCCCCTCCATCCTAGATCTTTCTTTCCTCCTTCTCTTCTCCATTTTATTTCCTCAGAATGAACTCAGGGAAGTGAGAGAAGAGCTCAAGGAGAAAATGGAGGAGATAAAACAGGTAACGAGATGAGGCCTTCCATATCATGGAGGAAAAGTGTAGCTTCAGGAAAAATGCAATCCTTAACTTTGAATAGTGAAGGAAAGCAGGAATTGCATGGAAAAATGTAACTCAGTCCTAATACCCAGAGAGCTTCAGTGTTAGGTTATTCACTTCTTACTTGTTTGATGCCTAAACCCAATTTTTGAGTGACTGAGGACTCCCTAAAGTGTCCCTTTGATAAGGGTGGGTGACGTCACCTTAGTGATGAAGTTGAGTGAGAGGGGCTGATTTGGAAAGTGAATTTAGGGGTAGTCAGGGACCAACCCCGTCTTCCTTATGCGCCTCCCCCGAGCAAGTTGCAAAGCAGGAACCCTCTCATTTCTATGATACAACCAACACCTGTAGCATCCTTAGGAAAAAAGGGAATAATCAAGCAAGAAAGTGTAATTGAAGCTGTGGTCTGAGCTCCACATGCAGCCTTGCAGTAGCCAGATCTAAGCGGTGCCAAGGCTGGTGGCGGTGCTGACTTGATGGTGCTTGCACCCTAGTCCCTTCACAGACTCCTTGAGAAGAAAGTGACTCTAACAGGCCGTTATTAGTCCATGCCAAAGGAGCAGCTGCTGCCCTTTGCTTAAAATGCCCCAAAGACGCCACAACTAACCTCAATAACACGCTCTGTGCTTTGTCAAGCCATGCCTTTCTTCCTTGTTAGATAAAGGATCTAATGGACAAGGATTTTGATAAACTTCACGAATTTGTGGAAATTATGAAGGTAAGCATTACTTGAGTGCCTTCCATGGACCAGTCATACTGGAAACTGTGGAAGAGATACCAGCAGACCCTGCCCTCCAGGAGCTTATTATCTGCTAGTAGTCCCAAATTCCATTGCAAGACAGAATTGCAAGCCAAATACTTAATTGGTTGTTTGCTAGTTAGGGGCTTAGAGGCGTGAGAACTGAATGAGAGTTGGAGTAAGCAGCGAAGTCCTTACAGAGAAAGTAAGTCTCAAGCCTTGAAGACTGCATCGGAAGCTTAATGCAAATCTCATCAAGAGCCCAATAAGATTCTTTTTTAACTCAAAAAATTACTAGGATGAACTAGATTCTAGAGCAGTGATTCACAACATGTGGTGTGTTTCAGAATCGCCTGGAACACTAATAAAACAGAGCCTGGGCTCATGTTCAGATGGTGCTGGGCCCTTGTATTTTAGACAAGTTCCCAGGAGAAAGATTGAGAGGCACTGATGTAGAAGCATGAACTGGCAAAAGCAAATAGGTACCCATTTTTCAAGAGCTGTAAGGGGACACTAGCCTTACCAGATATCAAAATTCACTATAAAAACAAAGTTATTAAATCAGTCCAAGGATAACCAAACACATGAATGAAATGGGATAGATAACGCCTCAACAGCCTCTCTGCCTGGGATGTAATGAGAATCAGTTGTGAGAATTTTAAAACTCTATTTACTGACACCCTTTCCCGGAGGAACTGAATAAACATCTCCAGGGTGAGCCGGAGTTGCTTAAAACTCCGTTTTGATTCAGATGCTTGCCCGTGGATGAGACCCAGGTCCTAAACACTTTAGCAGCAGTTACTAACCTTGGCTACACATTAGAATCACCTGGAAAGGCTTTCACCTACGCCCTCCCCATGTCCAGGCTACACCTCATAACAATTAAGTCAAAGCTCTTAGAAAGAGGTCCAGGCGCCAGTGGTTTTTAGTTGCCCAGGTGATTCCAGTGTATACTCAAGGTTGAGAACCACAGCTCTATAGAATTTACAATATGATAAAGGTGATTTTTTGATGTTAGTGAGAAGGAAAGGATTAGGTATTAATATTAGAAACATTGTTTGACTATATGAAGGAAAACCTTAAGCCACGTAACACTGTAAAGTTAAATAGTCTATGAAGTGATTTTAAATAATAAAAACCAATAAGAAGAAATTTTAAGTAAATATGTAAATGGAAGTTCTAAATATAAATACAATGGAAGCAATTACAAAGGAAATATTGATATATTTAGCTATGTAAGATTTTTTAAAAGAATTATGACACAAAAATCATTTATATTTACAGAATTAAAAAAACAGTTTGGGGGGAACATATTTCCACAAATGTAAGCACAGAAAAAAGGTTTTTATCCATAACATGTAAAGTTCACACAAATCAAT